TACCTCAGTAAGCGTACTGAAAGGTAGGTCTGGCCGGGCCAATGCCAACGGTCAAGTCAAGAGTCCAGGTAATCGCTGTATTCAACAGGAGGTTGAACTAAGGAATACATGGGTTTTCCTACAGTATATATAGTAACTGGTATAGGGGAGAAAGGACACGTAAGCTATCCTGTGAGAATGTAACTCAGAGATATGAGAAATACAAGGGCGCTCATTGGTGGACGGCTGGAACAAATCATCTCCCCGAGATCACCGAGTCTGACTAAGCATGCCAAAAATGGCAGTAGCTGAAATGCTTCAAGAGCAGTGGGTAGTCTCCCAAAGGTGACCAATTAAATGCCTCCTTTATAAGGCAGGTGGAGGGCAGTCAGCATATAATGGTCTGCCGCGGATCGCACCCCCTTAGTAGGGGTACGCATATTCAACATCACGTGACTATTCCCATGGCCACCTTGACAGACTCACCGTTTCATACCCATGCCATCTCCATGTAGCGAGGGAAAAATATATGATATGGCAGGAGTACCTGCTGGTCCTGATGCAGCTTGAGTAGTCTCAGATTTTTTGGTGCTCTCTTTCTGCTGTAGGAGCATTAACTTCGTTGGGTACATGCTGCTGACATCAGCAGCTCCGGCCATCCCAAAAGGGGAATATGTTGAAGCTCTACCCTTCAGAGCTCATTTTGAAGACATCACGCTCGGCAGCATACCTCAATATGGCTTAAAAACATATATGTATTACTACTCATTACTTCTACCAGCCCATGGGGGGAATGGATTATTATCAAAATACGCTGGAGCCTATCATGGTACAGAATAGGCTTTATCGGTCGATACGGCACCCAAAACAGACACTAATTGAGCACAACTTTGGTGTCACTTCAAACTATGTAGCTGAAGCTCACTAATTCTTGCTAGAGGGTTGCGATGTGCTGGGGAACACAGTTAATCTGAAGATTCCGTAATGCTAATGAGGTTACGTGATTGGAATATGCGCACCACGCCAAATGCTGGGGGTGGGCAATGCCGCATCGGAATGTGTACACTTATGTAAGCAATTGGTGGCGCAAAAGTGACCAATGCTGCTCCTGTTGCCCATACACAATCACCTCACTCTTCTGAGGTCTAAGCAGGCACTAATGAGTGTATATAATGTATATAACATAGTCATGTCCAAAGGTAAGCCTATGATTAAATGTCAGAACTAATAAAATGACAGAACTCCCGGGCATTTGCCCTAGTCACATCACTGTCACACCGCATCTCACGCCAAATCACTTTTCTTCAATCGACTACCGTGGACACTGTGCTGGCTCGTAGCTTTTCACGTCTAGCTTCAAACATGAGAAGTGCTCTATCAAATAAGCTCTTGTGCGTGTTCAACTGTTAGGTTTTGGTTGTATTGGATGCAGAGCCACTGGGACAAATAGGTACAAACAGCTTGACTATGTACTGAGCCACTGTATTTCCTTTGTTCCTTAGTCCGTGCAATTGACCTTGCCTTCGGTTTGTGTATGTGTCTGGGCCTGGTGTGCTTATGGCCACCCATCTTATGCTTCCCTATTCTGCCTGCTGCTAACATCAACCCAGATTGTCCATTGGGTAACTTTTTTTTACACTATTTATTTAAGTATCAGCAATTTCCCAAAAATTCACTGAACACGCACTAGTAATGATCTTTTTGTGCAAATCTGTGACTTAAATCTGCTTGAAAAGGCAATAGCGGGGGCACAACGTTGTCCGACAGCAGTTGGTCACTGCCAAATCGTGTTTAAGCCTGAGCCAAACATGTACAAATGGTACGCATTCAGACACGGTGTTGCCCACCACAAATGATGCGTGACTAGATGCAGCCTACACAGTGGGTGGGTGATTGGGGTCACATAACATAGTCAAATGAGTTCAAAGCAACTTATAAGACATTTAATGAAGCTCTCAGGCTCTCGGGCTGAATATTCAGTGAGCATATAGTACACCCACTGCTGTTGAAGCATTTCAGCTACTGCCATTTTTGGCATGCTTAGTCAGACTTGGTCATCTCAGGGAGACGATTTGTTCCAGCCCAGGCTCCTAAACCACTGTCCTTAGCGTTCTCGCTCCTCCTTTACTAGGGCACATGTGCAATGTTATGTAATACAAATCTATTTTTAATTTATTACTGGATACAGAACGAACAGAGGAGGAGAATGCTATAGGACGGCTGGAAGAAATCATCTCCCCAAGATCATCGAGTATGACTAAGCATTCCGAAAGCGGTAGCGGCTGAGGCCTTCCACCAGCAGTCGGTGGGCAATGCAAGGAGCACCTGAAAACTAGGAAGGATAAAAACTATATAGAAAGGCATAAAAAGCTATCTTACTGGTACTCCCCCAGTGTAAACACCCCCCGTGAACTATTGTCCCTCAGAGGAATTTATCATGGCTTCTGAACCCAATGTTCAGCCCTCAGTGACACTGTCAATGCTTGTATTTGCTTTTGTCTATGTCAGACCATTGGTGCATTATATCCAAATAGAATGTGCTTCAAATTCTATAGGTATGCGCGCAAATGCTTGTACTACATCCTGCCGACTGCTGGTGGAAGGCCTCAGCCGCTACCGCTTTCGGAATGCTTAGTCATACTTGGTGATCTCGGGGAGACGATTTCTTCCAGCTGTCCTATAGCGTTCTCCTCCTCTGTTCGTTCTGTATCCGGTAATAAATTAAAAATAGATTTGTATTACATAACATTGCACGTGGGCCCTAGTAAAGGAGGAGCGAGAATGCTAAGGATGGTGGTTTAGGAGCCTGGTTCCAGCTGTCCTATAGTGTTCTCCTCCTCTTGTTCATTCTGTATCCGGTAATTCTCATATAATACATTTTCTTACATAATATTTCACTTCTGTCCTAGTAATCAGAGGAGCGTGAATGCTAAGGACGGGTGGTTTAGGAGCCTGGCTCTTGTGGTCCTTGTCACTTTGCACTGCAGGAGTTGCTTCATTTGTGAGGTACACGGAGTGGGTTATATTTACAAATATATGTTTGATGCCCCAAAATATAACTTATCTTCCAGCCTCAAAATGGTATGGATAACTCTTTCTATGGTGCCAGCTTCCTGCATGGGGTAGTCTCACATTTCTTTATGTACTGAGAAAATATAACCTTACCAAAAACTCAAGCACTGCCAGGAAATAGCTATCCCCAGCATAAAAGATATAATATTTTGAAGAGAGGGAAAACTTATGGGGAATGTGGAATATTCTCTAATTGTGGATAACTAATGCCAAAGATAATCTTCTAGGTTGACTTTGAGCACCAGAAAAAGAGGTAGAATGCATTGATAAATATAATTTCTCCAATGCCCCTTTCAACCAACATTTTTCCAGCTCCATACATGGCCGCTGTGTTGAGGGGTTACCATCGGGCGTTTTCTGGCCGTCACGTCACTATTGATTGACAGACTCACTCCCAGACTCCCGGTGTGTCCAGCTCCTGCAATCAGAAATGGAACCCCGCACTTGGTAAGTATATGCGGTCTCACCGTCACATGATGTGGACTTATCTCCATTTGAAATTGGATTGATGTGACAGGACATGACTTCGATCCTTTGGTGCGGCACCGACAGCAGGGTCTAATAGACAAATCCTTCGGGTGTACTGTCCGCGTACATTTCTTGCAGGAAACCGGCCTTTTGGGTGCTGCAGGATGCTGCGGTTCCAACTCCAGGTCGCTGTTGCGCTTGCAATCGCGGCGGTTGGAAGCGTCGGTTTCCTCGCTTTCTACGGTGTCGGGAACAAGGAAGGGCAAATCAAGCTGCCCGTATATTCTGACGAGCAAGAGGATGGAACACCGGATCCCTTCAATGTGACGAAGCCAGAGGATGCAATAGACGGCTACCCGGTTAATGAGCAGGAATTCTGGCACAGGGTACGCTGCGTGAGCCGCAGGAGATTAATGGCGCTTAACATGTCCTTAGATGCGGTTAAGGAAGCTACTGCTTTCTGTGAACCTGGCGATCATCCTTGCGATAGAGGCAGTAGGGCTAGGCTAC